GAATCAGTTCACATCCAAACGTTTAAATATGAGGCTGTGAGAAACTTAGCGCCACCTGAAAAGCCCTTTGTGGTGAAAGCAACACTGGGACGTGTTAAGCATAAGTAAAACCTGCAGTCTTAACTTTAATCCATTCTTGAGTTAGCTTGTAGCTCTTTGAAAAACAAAAACTCTGCAGTACACTATTTGAATTCCTAATTCCTCCGGGGCAGATGGAGGCTGACTGAAAGGCCATAAGGTCTACCTGACCTTGAAGATCTGCCAGCGCACAATTAACAATTCCTTCAATATGTCAGGCAGGAGACACAAAGGGGAAGTGTGCACATGGAGGACACTCATTAACCTTTCAGCAGTGACTTGTGAAGGGGTTTGGCAGAAAGTTAAACTCCTGGAAAAACAAACTCAACTGATAAACAAATAAACACAACCACATGAGTATTTCAGAAGCTTTTCTTCCCGTTTGCTTCCTCATCCTGACACAGAAAGTGTTTGGGCAGATTCTTCACACTTTAACAGAAAAAGTGTTAGCTATCAACAACCTGACACTACTATGGCATAAATACAGTCAGAGAGACTGATACAAAGATGTCAGTATAAGCCTAATTCCTCTAAACTCCTACAGTCTAACCAGACTTTAACAGATCAGTCCAACAGTTTGGACCAAGCCATCTCCGGTCAGCTGAGGGGGAAAGAGTGACAGGTGGTCCAAAAGGATGAATGGGCCCAAATTGTAGGCGGAGAGCCGCTATAGGCCTCAGCATGATGGGAGAAAAACCAGGCCACTCGGCAGAGGGAGAGATGGAAAGAGACTCAAAAAGAAGGACAGGAAACAGGGACTAACCCAGAGACAGAGCAGTGTTGAAAACAAATATACCACCTGCTCTCTTCCAGGGTAGCATTAATAAACCTGGAAAGCAGCGCAGGACAGGTAAGGTTATATGACCAGGACACAGAGGCTACCTGCATCGATTATCACATGTCAGCCCTCAGTTCAAAGCTGCTTATTTAGGAGCAGAACTAGAAGTGGGCATCATGCTGGCTCAGCAGGGAGCGTCACATGCTCTTGAGCTTGCGACATTCATCCGATCTGACCTCTTGATTTGCCATACATCTTACTTCCATTTCCCTATTCCCTGGTACTGTATTCCGATTATTCAGCCATTCCTCCAAAATTCCTGGTAATGGCACAAAATCAATTTCAGAAAATATATTACCCACATGTTTTGTAAGTGGAAGGATAAATACAGTATGTGGCCATTTTGAAAGGGATATGATGGGGCTACAATATATTATGATATATATAGATATGAGATATCAAGCCATATGCTCAAAGAATAACATGTAACCAAGCTTTAAATACCAATAGGCTGCTGACACAAGAGGTTTTTAAATGAGGTATTGTACTTGTCAGTACTATCAATTGACTGTTTGAGTGTTTAAACAATTCATTACGGCAAATCTATGGCAAAATATGATCATTATCAGAGCTCGCAATTACATAAATGGATCGTTTAAATTGCTCTTAGACTTAATCCCAAAGATATTTGATTTACAATCATATGAAAAAGGAAGGCTACACATCCATAAGATGCCTATACATTTTCTGTCAATAAATCAATCAAAAACAGCCTAGTATCTAAAAAAAAATCCCTCTCAGTGTGTCTTCCTGCCAACATGGCCATGTGGCCTACTCTGCATACAGTGCATGTGCCCTTGTCCCAGAGGTTAAACAAAGTGACAATACCGAAAATGAGCCAAATAAATGTAAATGGTGCAGCAGGTAACATGTTGTTTTTCTTCAGTGAGACTACCCTGAATGGATGAGAATAAATAAGAAAAATATAAATAAGAAACACTAGATCCGTCAGATTCATCTCTGTGCGTGTATCTTCATTTTAAAAGGGTGTTTTGGCTCTATTTTTAAAGGCACTTCCTGAAGGCATTTCCAGGGAGGCAGTCTCCGGTCAGCGGGGCAAACAGGAAACATAACTCTGAGCTGTCAGTGTGTCATAAGTTACACACGGTTTTAAACACTCAAACAAAAGTCACTATCAAGTAGAAAAGTAGGGCAGTGATTTGTTTTTCTTACTTAAAGACAGTTTTCTCCATCTGCTTCAGCCTGCTGAGCCACACTACGAGTCACTGAACACTTCCAACACCACAGCCTCCATGACAGGAACACAGAGAGGAGAGGAGGGATGGAAATGTGAAGGAGGAGTGCTGAAAGGACGAGCGGATTCATGCTGAGGCATGTTGATATGTGCGGGGTTTAGTTCAGAGTGCACAGTGTATGCGTCTGTGATTGTGTGTGTGTCTGTCTGAGGCAGAGAGAGAGTGTATCTGCAGCACACAGAGGGATTATGAAAAGTGCACTGTTAGTCTGACACTCGTTTCACACAGAGCGCGCAACGTGTGCCCAAAAGCCTAAAATCCTGGTTTATTTACATCAGCGTTTAAAAAGAGTGCTCTAACTAAACACAAGGACAGACGCACAAAACATTTGATAGCCTTTAGCTTGTGTTAGATCACATACTGTACATCCTTTTACATCTTTTTAGTTCGGATCTTGGTTCAGATCAGATCTTTTGATGATATATGATCGTTATGGAGCGTCTTCCATTTACCAAATGTACACACACTGAAATGGTGATGGATAATACAGAGTAGGGCTGCTCGATTATGGCAAAAATCATAATCTCGATTATTTGGGTCAATAATTGTAATTGCGATTATTCATTGACTTTGAAAACATCCATTTATTGGAGAAAAAAAATGTGAACTGTATGTTTTTAACAGTTGATTACCCTGAACTTTAAGTATGATTCAACTGACAAAAAAAAAAAAAAATGAAAAAAAAAAATCATTATTTCAATTTTCGTAATCGTTGCAAGACATAATCGTAATCGCGATTAAAATACGATTAATTGAGCAGCCCTAATACAGAGGTTGTCAGATGTAAATATAATTTCAGTTCCTTATTGAACAAGGATGCGTCCTCGTGTTTTAATAATGTAGATTGTCTACGTTGTCTAACTGTAAATTAGTTTGACAAAGTACTGGCTAATGAGCAAGAGAACTGTGTCAGTATTGACCTTAAATATAGGGCCATGGATTTAAAAGCAAGTACTTCTAGCAATACAGATAAAAACCGTATAGTTATTCCTATTGTTTCATCTAACAAATGCAAAGTTATACATTGAATCAGGTATTATCTAACCACCTATGTTTTGTGGAATACCAAAGTCAACTTCTAGTAGTTTACAATAATCTCTGCGCCAGACACATCTCCTTATTTGTCAGTATGTAGGTTTGCCATCCAGCACTACAAAAAAGTAAGGGTTGTCATTTTGCTAGGAATGTGCTTTAAAAAAGTCATCAATGATCAGTGACAAAGTTGGGCTATTGGAAACTGTTGTTTGGACAGAAAATAACAGCAGTGCTAATCTTCAAAACTCCCTGCAAAAAAGTTTGGTGAAAATTTGACAAAAAAACATTGCTTCTACTTTCTTATAGATCTTGTTACTGAGTCATTGTGGGAAATCAGTTTTCAATGGCCCTATCTCATGTCAGAGTGTGCTGTGGTAAACAAGATCCACAACAAGGACATTTAGTTATTACCCTTTATTAAAACCATCATGGGGAGAAACAAAAAAACGTCATCAACTTCATTAAGGGGCACAATGGATCGACCATGATAAGCTTCTTGTTCTGTAGTGTCTGCGAGGGTTACAGCAACATTCAGAGCTGAGCTTCACAATACCACATCATCTGAGGACAATACAAAAACTAAATTACAGGGAGTCCTTGGGGAGTACAGCTGGAATGGACACACCCTCTGCAGCTGATATTGTGGGTTGTGTGTCTTCCTGTTAAACTTTTTTTTTTCACAAACCACAGTTTGTGTGTCACCCAGTGCACTTTCAAAAAGCAGCTCTGGCTTTTTTAGATGTGGCTTACCACAGATATATTTACACGAAAATACAAAATGATGTATGACGTTTCGCTGAGAGTCATTTCATTATGACACATGTACAATGGTCAAAACAGGAACTTTAATTACAGAATGAGCTACTTTGGCAAAAATAACTAAAATAACCGGGGAGAAAGCTGTGATGCCCCATTAAAACCAAAGTAAGGTCTGTTTCCATGAATAAGTTGAGAAAAATCAATACCGCCAACCTTTATTGACCAACTAACAAATGCTTTACATTCCTCCCTCAGCCTAGTTGCAAGCCTGCAAACCAAGCTTAAATAAACTCTCCATAAAGCTGCCTTCCACAGATTTCGAAGCATTTATAAAGGCTTTAATGTTGCATTAAAATGTGTTTAATAGTTACATATAATTCAGCAACAATAAAAGCCATGCACTGGCATAGAATAGTGCTTACAAGTTAATAATGTAGCCAATACACCTCCAATGTTTTATTTCTGTAGTATCCCAATGGGGACTGTTGTGGTTTTAAATGGTGAGTTGAATGACCTTATGGAATGGCATGGACTGCTCTGTGCTACTACAATATTCATGTAGACGTGTACTGTCAGTGACATTTAGTTTCCCACAAATCTAGGCTTGCATGTCAATGCCAACCAATGTCCTGGTCAATGTCAATAAGGGGGGAAAACTAAATAAAATATCTTGCTGGTGTCTTTACATTTAAAATTTAAAATTGTAACAGCTAAAACTTGCTGCTGTAACGTTAACACTCAAAGGCCTCCCTATCAGCAGTGAGAGTGGAAGCAGTTTTTGAACCGACCCACTGTAATAATAAAAAAGTAGACACACCCTCAGTAAACGGAATAAATGTGATTAATAGTTCGAAAAGATACAATATCTAAATATCCCGCAGTTGTAATGGCATCAGACTGGTATTACAGCTCCAAGCTTTGGGCGGAGGAGATCATTCCGGCTTCTTTATCCACATTTCCTGTCCCAACAACCAATTCAATCCGGAGCTTTTCACGACAAAAGGAGGTTGAAGATAACGTGCTAACTCACTTACCTGGACATAATTGTTCTCGCAGTAGTCTGCTACTCTGGTAAGGTTTTGGTAACTCTCCACAAGCGCTCTTTTACCGGCTGGAATCTCTTCCTCTAACAACATTTGTAGCTCTGCCATCTTACATCTCCCCACAGAGCCTCCCTTCCCTCTGCTTCCCTTTGATTCAAACAACCACTAGCCCAGCTCCGCTTCGGAAAAAAAAATCCTCTCCGCCTGCTATTGTGGGATTCCTGCCCTCGCTTTGGCGTAACCTCAACCCGAAGATCGTATGTGCACGGGAAGAGTACTCGCTCGACTGTTTATACATAGGATCAGTGTTTTCTCTGCTAGCAAGGCATCAGCATCATGCGTGGAAGTACATTTACTCACAACTGACCATTTTTACTAGTTTTAAGCGGTTTTAAGGTATGTATTGTCATGTGCACAACAACTCTACAGAAGAAGCCCTTCGCATTTAAATGTTGGATCTCAGGCTTAAACATCAAAGTGGTACATACCCATTAATGCAATATTTGTAATATAATATACATTTTTGCAAAAGTGGTCATTCTGCACAATGAGAACTTACTTTAGTACTTTACGTATGTTGACTTGAGTAAAGATTTGAATGGTCATTTTGTATTACTGATTTTCACATATTAGCCTGCTAATTCTACTTAAGTAGGCTATAGATATGAGGTATTTGTACACATTTGAGAACCGGAACTAGTTAATTTTGACATTTTTCTTACATAATATGTTTCAAGTTTAACAGTAACTCAATTATCAAACTGATTGTTGTACATTTTTGACAAAATGCAGATCTAGATATTTTTACGAAGATGTGTGGTGATCGGAATTAAAGACAAAGTGAGAGCTCTTGTTGTTCACTCCCGTCCACCGATCACCCTTCCAACAGTAGAAAAAACATGGATCCCGCTTAGGGAGTTGTGGTAAATGTAGTTCTACCCTAAACTGTTACTATGTGTATCGTTTATATTATATAAAGATCGCATTTAAATATTATACACTAACATGTCTTATTCTATAGCTGGAAATACTTTTCTTGTTTATTCAGTACATGATTTGTTTTTATCCAAAAGCCGCTTTCATTTCTTAAAGCCTGCTCCAAACTACATTTTCACGCAAAGGATTGTGGACCTAGTAGGAAATGTTGATATCTAGTAGAAGACTACAATTACCAGAGTGCATCTCTATCTGGCATTATACACTGTTGATGGCGTCTGGTCGAAGGCTAAAGACAGGTCGCCTTCTGACAAACAGATAGAACGGTATTTTACATTAACGGTACGTATCATCGTCTTAGAGCTTTTTCGTCGACAGTTTATAAATAAATGTTGTATTTGTCACACATATATAGGCAGTTTGACGTGTGTCGCATAGCTTATTGTGTGTCCTAGAAACACAACCTCCTCCTATTGGTGGTCACACCAGACTGTAAATACAACAACTTGCCAGTTTAGCTAGTCGCATTAGCATAACAAAAGTCTGGCTGTATGCAACAACTGTTATAAAGAGCTAGCATACATGTTATTGTGGAAGTCCGCTTTTCGCATATTAGTTCTCATATTTTAACGTATGTTTATGTACTGTCTTTCTGTTAGTTTTTTGTTGACAATCTCAGTTTGACACAATGGAGGTGGAGAGTGTGGAAGTGGAGGATGAGAGGCGTTTGACCCTCGTGAGGTTCGAGGCTGCATTAAAAGTGATTAAGAGTTTACCCCCGAATGGTAAGTGAACAAAACAGTCGATATTTACATCATTTAGACCAGTTCATGGATTTAAAATAGGGTACAAACAGAATGGTGGCAAGCATAGTCTGATGCAGTGCAACAGCTTGGTCTACTTTTGAGCTCGTGCGATTTAAAAGGCCTAATCCACTTTACTAACAGTGTTCAGAGATTTGCTTTAGTGCCAGCAATCTACAACCTATTGCAAGATACATGTTTAAGTCAAATTGTGTTTAATGAAATGTCATTTATTTTCCTCAGGTCCCTTTCAGCCATCCAATGATATGATGCTCAAGTTCTACAGTTATTATAAACAAGCCACTGTTGGTGCATGCAATATACCCCGACCTGGCTTCTGGGATGCAGTTGGCAAAGCGAAATGGTAATTATACTGTCAGTCAATTAGTTTGTAATGTTATTATCTTAATACACATAGGTCATTACATTCTTTGAACAGTTTATGGGGAAAACATTAGTGTCTTACAATGTTCTCTGAATCTGCTGACATTTAATTCAGCATAAACCAGCGAGTGTTTGTGCACACTGCACAACATGTTGTTTTTGGCCCACTTTGACCTCACTGTGCAATACGACACGGTACAATCATCTCCACTGGGGTTAGGGCTCTACTGATTCTCTCTCTTTAATCTTAAGTTGTGTTAGGGGATCTTTGGACTCTTGGAATGTAACCTCTTACCCACTAGCCTGCACAGTTTCTCTCATGGTCCCATCAGGGTGGGGATTTGCAAGTTTATCAAAAACTGTAAAAACGCTTGTTTTAAGGTGGAGTCTGAAATATTTATTCTCAAAACCCATACAAATATCCCCTCCACATTCACTTTTTTGCAATAATGTTGTGTGAAACTTTATTTGTATCCAATTGACCTAGCCAGGTAAAATTAGATTTGATTCTAATTGCAGACAATACCAATTTAAGGAATAACTTTTGTTACCAATGAATAATTACATTTCAGTCGACCTTTGAACCTCTGTCTCGACACATCAACCTTCCATCAACTGAGCATGTTTACAAAAAAATACTGGCCCAGAAGTCTTCAAAGCAAATCTTCTCGCTGGCATCGATGCTTTACTGGTTCTACTTGTTTAAGTTGTATCATAATGCTGTTTTTGTTTTAATGTGATAGGGATGCGTGGAGCTCTCTTGAAGATATGTCAAAAGAAAAAGCAATGGCAGGCTACGTTGATGAAATGAAGCTGGTATGTTACTTTTCCTGACCATGTAACGATTGCATAATATAGTATATTAAAGTCAAACCTTTTATTGTTATTGTTTTGAGCTAAACATCACTGTCATTGACACTGCATTTGTTTCTGTATTTGATGCGTAGATCCTGGAAGGTATGCCCATGACAGATGAGGTGGAGGAGTTACTACGTGTCCTCGGCCCCTTCTATGAGCTGATTGACGATAGGAAAAAGATCACACAGATATCAGACCTGAGCATGGGTAGGTTTTTAATCACCACCTTTTACTTGGCGTGTCATGTCAATAACAGCATGTGGATCTTAACCTTTTTATAATTTGCCTCTTTTTATATGCTCAGCCCGTTTGACACAGTTTGCTAGGCAAATGGATGGCAAGTATATTGCTGTGTAAATATTTGAGTCTGGTGATATAGTTTTAGTGAAATAGTATTTGTCTGGAGTTGTAGATTAGATGCTTTTGGTGCTTAGTAGCACTTGGTGGATTAGTATTACAGAACATGGGTCTTATTACATTTACATAAACTACATAAGGGTTTTGCAAACATCCTTGGTCTAAGTCGTTATCTAGTTTTGATTAAAATCTTCACGTTAATAAAGTATTAGTAACCTTAACCTCAAAGGAAGCATTCCTTTGTGTTTATGGTATTGAAATGAAATCATTTTTTCTGCACAGGGTTTGGTTCAATGGTGAATGCAATGCCATCGAAGAGCATCGCAAAGAGCATCGTCAGAACAATGAAGATGAACGGCAACCTGGAGACTCGTCCTGCCAGGCTCAAGGCAAAGGAAGTGAAGGAAAAGTCAGAGGAAGAAACACAGGATGAAGAAGAGGAGGAGGAGGAAGTAGAGGAGGAAGAAGAAGAGGAAGAAGAAGAAGAAGAAGAGGAGGAAGAAGAAGTCGAAGAAGAAGTGATAAAGGAGGTCAAAAAAGGTAACCACGTTATCAATACTGTGTCCAACAGTACTGTAAAAAAACATTTAGTTGACTTTTTTGGGGATTCATTTCAGACAAGAAATCAGCAGTTTCTCAACCAAAGAAGAAGAGTTCAACCAAGAGACACAAAGTGCCTCTTTCCAACGGTAAAGTGTCCAACGGGGTCACCCATCTGACCAATGGGAGTCATCCCAAGGGCGGTCTGAACGGTGTCCCCTCTCAGGAGGGCTCAGTCGCTGAGCCTCTGCTCAACGGTCACCACACAGGTGAGGTCAGCTATGACAGCATTCTGTTCTCTTTTAAATCTTGCATTGTGTTTCTGAGAACTGTGCACCATGTGATCAATTAAACTGCTAAACAGAGCTGTGGCAACTCAGGGACTGAATCTTAGCACTTTACACATCAGCTGCTCCTTTTAATGGACTCAATTATTGGATCAAATGGCAAAACTAAAATATAGTGAATGTTGCTTTCCTCCATGCCACTTAGTTACATTCCAGTATGAGTCTGAGCTTCTTTTTTCCCCTCTTCTTGCCTTTTGTACTGATGTCAGATCCTGGTTTAGATGTGTCTGGTCCCAGTCAGCTGGCCAGTGACTCAGACAGCGAAGTCTATTGTGATTCTGTGGACCAGTTCGGACAGGAAGAGGCAAGTAGCAACCTGTTTAGCACAGTGTTTGTAGCTACTTGGTTGTCATACATGAATATTTAATGTACATCTTCTCCAGGGCTCAGAGCATAACCAGTCTTTGGACGACCTGGATGAAGACGAGAACCACGTCTTGTCCCCTTTAGAGGAGCCCCAGGACGATGTTGACGGTGCACCAGAGGGCATCATGTGTGGAGGAGAAGATGGAGAGAACGGTGGAACAGTGTCGCAGAGACAGAGACTGAATGCAGATATGTCTAACAGCTCTTTGGTCAGAAGAGAAGGAGGTAAGGTTTTCTTAAATAGGGCATTTATGCTCCACACAGCATTCCGAAAAAGGCAACTGTATATTTTTCTTTTTTTGGCTGTTTGCAAACATCAATTCTAAGTAATTTCTGTGTTTTTAGGCTCCAGGTCTCCAGACCATGGCTCTGGATCTCTGATGCCCATGTATGGTGGTGGAGATGGGGACAGGGAGCGCTGGGGGGGAGCTGTCACACCCGGAAGCCTGAATGAGCAGATAGTTGTAGCGTTGGCTAGACTGCAGGAGGACATGCAGAGCGTCCTGGACAGGCTGCACACCCTGGAGGCTCTGACTGCAAGCCAGGTCAGACCCCTCTGTCCTCTCATCATAAGAAAAACATCTCTGTTAATTTTCTGGTCCTCTTTGAAAGGAATCTGAATACTTTTTAG